CGACCCTGCCCGTGAGCAATCTCCCAACTCATCTCTGTCTTTACAACCAATTAAAACCTTATATTCGCATTTCGTCTCCGTCGCTTGTCACTATAGAGCTTATAAAATATCGGCCTTACGAGTAAAATCGGAGTATAATGGCGTTTACACAATATTTAACGCCAGTAGTTGTAAACTCAGTGTAACGTAGCGGTGTAAATGTACTTACAGAATGCACATGATTCTGTACAATTTTCCAAATTATAGATGGTGGGTGCAGTGAAGTATGCGCGCATTCCTTATAATTCGTCTAGTTAAATCGCAACGTGAAGCAACCTTGGATGGTCTACCGGTAATATAGGAACATTATGAATATAGTCGTAACGGGGGAAAATGACGTCATTACATCCTGCGCGGTTTTGGTAAAAATGGCGATCTCTGCGCTCATGCCTGTTGCCTCTCTACTGAACATGGAATACTAATGACAGTTCTCAAGGTCGCGTATGTCAGTTTCCTCTCCACTTATTTCCACCTCATTGCTAAAAGACCGAAAGCAGCTGAAGAGGGGTATATGTTGAATTAATCTAAAAAAAATTGCCCGTGCTTCGATGTAATGATTTTTACTGTAAAATGTTAAATCTGACAAATTGGATTCTTCGAGTAGTCGGAGTATTCAGAAGGGAGCTCAGTGAGGAAACAGTTTAAAACTAGTAATAAACTACATCTAATTTATTGATTCGTTACCCCACCCATGTCAAGCCGCACTCGACGTTGGTTAGCCGACAGCTGATTTAAAACTTAAACATCAACTCATATGTAGAAATGGGTGAGTGCTAATATTTCGACATATATTCAACTAGTGCCCTTTTTAATTCATTTTATTGAAATTATCTTTGGGATTGTACGTGAAAAATGCTGAAATAATTTAGTTGCTTTAAAACTCTCTTTCTGTTGGTGTTATCATTAGTTATAGATGTTGTAACATTGCTATAAGATTTTTAATAAATCTTGCTGAGATCGATGCATTATGACTGTGTTAATGAATCAGTTGAAGTTGTCGGTTCAAAGGAAGTGTTGCTTTCAGATAAAAATTTCAAGGAAAAACTGATAAAAAATGTCAAGAAGGAAGTTAAGCAGATAATGGAAGAGGCGGTTACGAGAAAGTTTGTACACGAAGAAAGTAGCAGCATAACATCTTTATGTGGTATAGTATTGTTTAATGTATGCGTATAGATTAAATGTTCAATGATTTCAAGAATGTATGTTTTATAGCTGCTGTGGAGGCATGTTTGTCGCAAGGAGTCAGAAGACGAGCATTGGGTTTATTTAAAACTAATTCGACTACTGCTCTTTTACATAAGATAGCTAAGTCTTGTCCAGCAGCTGATAAGATTTCAAGAATGGTTTTAGAAATGGAAAATGCAGACACATTAAATAGAAAATCTTCGAGCAGTGGAGATAGCATTAGCAAGCCAATTCCTCCACCGTTATTGAAAAAGAATTCCAGCAGCATTCTCTCCCAGACTCATTACACTCCTCCAAAATATTTGTGGATTCGACTTGCCCTTGTGGAAAAACAACTTGCTGAAATCATTAACTTTTTAGTAGAGAACAGCAGTAAATATTATGAAAAAGATTCATTAGTTGCTGATCCTGATTATGGATCAATTTTAAGTTCATTATTAGTGGGTCCTTGTGCTTTGGATTATTCGAAAACTAAAACGCAAGACCATTATTGGACGGATCCACCAGCAAACGAATTAGTTCAACGGCATCGTATATCGTCGTGTACCACAAGTGGTCCACCAACTGCTCCGCTACAGGTAAGAAAATGTTTATGATACATTTAGATTAAATGTAAACATTTGTGTTTAACTGTTGCTTAAATTATATTTGTTTTAATCAGTTTGGCAGAAGTTTACATACAGGAGGAAGTGCAGAAGATGGATTTAGTCAAGTGCCACGATCAGCTAAAGATTATGTAGAGTCTCTTCATCAAAATAGCAAAACCACTTTGCTATATGGAAAGAACAATGTCACTGTACATCCTGTAAGTTAATACTTACATATGACATAATTGTCAATGTTTTGTTCATTTGTGGGTTATAGCAATCCCCATTACTAATTGCTTAAATTAATTGCAGCCTCAATCAGACCCAATGCCTGGTTATCTCTCTTTACATCAAAGCGCTCAAGGCCTAGTAATAAAATGGACCCCAAATCAACTTATGAATGGTTTTGCTGATAGTACAATAAATAGTGCAAATGGTACAGGAAATGATGGAAAAGAAGAGTACACAGATAAATCTCAATATTGGCAGTACGCTCTAAATTTGAGGGTAGAGGATATAATATATGTTCATTGTCATCAACAAGGAGATGGAGAAGGTGGTGGTACAGTAGTACTAGTTGGGCAAGATGGCGTGCAAAGGCCTCCCATACGATTTCCTCCAGGTAAAATGTAGTATTAAAACTATTTTATAATGGCACTACGTGGAATAACTAAATAGTTTTGATTCTATGGAATATTTTGTCAAATGCTATCGATCACCTTAACAATGTATTTAATAAGGTATTACCTCTTAGGTCAAGGACATATGCTTTCCTTCTTGTCTTGTTTGGAGACCGGACTTTTGCCACTGGGTCAATTGGATCCACCGTTGTGGTCACAGCGTGGAAAAGGAAAGGCATTTCCCAGGGTCCGTAGAAGATCCTCACCTTCCTCTGCTTTCAATGAAGAAACAGTGGACTATGTATTTAGAATCGTAAATAAAGCCAGTCAAGATGATTTGCGTAAGTGAATATTACAATTCAGATATTTTTTTAGGATACCTTGTCTTTAAAAAACCGATGAATTTTTTCTTTAAATAAGCAGTAATGAATCAAGAAATAATGGATCCAAGCTACAGGCGAGGTGATGTACAAATCTGGAGGGTTCTTTCATCATCTGCCTCTGGTTCCAATGGGGATTCTCCGCATACCTCAGATTCGACCAATCCACCAGATAGTCCCGCTTCAGTTAACTTGAAAGAACAAGGAAATGGACATCCAATTCATCTCCTGTGTCAAACAATGAAAAGACAAATTATATCTCGAGCATTTTACGGCTGGCTTGCCTATTGTCGTCACTTATCTACAGTATAATAATATTCAGATCATTCTAAACATGCAATATTAAAGTCACGACCGTATCAGTATAAATTGACACATACCATTTATAGGTGCGAACACACTTGTCAGGATTGGTCAATTTAAATATAGTAGAAGGAAGCCCGGAAGATGAGAAAGGCCTTACCATTGAAGTGTGGCAAGAATTGTCGAAGGACGGTTGTGTAGTTGACAAGGAGAAGGTCCTACGTCTAGTTTACTATGGAGGTATTGCACCAGAATTGAGAGGGGAAGTTTGGCCGTATTTATTGGGTCACTACGAATGGGGATGTTCCTCCAATGAAAAGCAGGAACTGGATGATCTGACAAGACAGAATTACGAAGCCACTATGTCCGAGTGGCTTGCTGCTGAAACCGTTACCACTCAACGTGAGAGAAACGGTAGCGAGTCAAGTGCCGGGTATATCATATATTATATTCTATTTTTAGTCTGTAATTAAATCCGCACAATTTTCATGTACGGTTTAAAAAAGAAAATTCGTCTAATATCAGTAGAAATATATGTTTGCTATAATATTCTAAAGAATACTGTTTGTATTTTGTTAATATTAATTACAATTTTAGTTCTAATGATGGAGATGAGGATGAGATTGTTGAGAGTGATGTAGAAGACCCATTGGAACCAGGAGATGTGCCAACGTCTCCGGTTTCGTCACAAGGTGGAATTTATTCCAAAGAATTACTAGACCTTTTTGCTCTTAATCTACACAGAATAGACAAAGATGTGCAGCGTTGTGATCGGAATTATTGGTATTTCGCATCGTCAGAAAATCTTGAAAAATTGCGTAACGTCATGTGCACGTAAGTAATCCTTTGTCAACCTACATTTGTAATTTAACAATTAAGATTCCAGCCAAATGAGCTTCTTTTTCATAATAGAACTATTAAAAAGAAATTGATAAAAATTTGCATTAAACTTGCAAGTTCATTAAATGTGTATTTGTGAATATTAATGTCAGGCAATATTTCATTTACATTGAAGATATATTCACTAATACTGTATTATTTTAGATATGTCTGGGAAAGGCTCGAGGCTGGTTATATGCAGGGAATGTGTGATCTTGTTGCTCCTCTGTTAGTAATATTTGATGATGAAGCTAAAACATACGCGTGTTTTTGTCGTTTGATGGAACGAATGACGGCCAATTTTCCACATGGTGGAGCCATGGACATTCATTTTGCAAACTTACGCAGTCTCATACAAATCTTAGATGCTGAACTTTATGAACTAATGCATCACCATGGCGACTATACCCACTTTTACTTTTGTTATCGATGGTAATTGACAGTGTATATAATTTTTAAGAAACGTAAACAAGTAAAATACCGATGTCTTTGTAATATCGAAAAATAGAATAGTTTAAAATATGGCTAACCCTTAACTCTTAAATGTATCTAGGTTTTTGTTGGATTTTAAACGAGAACTGATGTATGAAGATGTATTTATGGTTTGGGAAGTAATTTGGGCAGCAAGGCACATTGCTTCAAATCATTTCGTTCTCTTTTTGGCCCTCGCTCTCGTACAAACTTATCGAGATATTATTCTATCAAATGCAATGGATTTTACGGATATTATCAAATTTTTTAATGGCAAGTACAAAGGAATATAACAATATAATTCCTTATGGATTAAGGCGTATTAAGATTTTACCTGATTGTTTTGCGATTGAAAACGTTTATAAGTGTTTTATTACAGAAATGGCAGAGAGACACAATGCACGTGCTGTATTGGGCCTGAGTCGCAAATTAGTTCTTCAATTGCAGACTATTATCGAAAACAAATGAGGTTCATTATTTTTACTATATCTTACAAATAAGTGATAATGATAAAAAATATTTCTTCAGAACAATAATACAAATGGTACATCATGGATAACACGTTTATTTTATTCTTTATTGTGTTCCAGACAAATGGTCTTTACACAAGAATCGGATGAAGACATTAGTTCAGGCGTATCAACTTCTCCTCAATTCTGATTTTAACATTATCAATGCCACAGAAACCTCCATAAAGGAAATGAAAACAGCAGCAGCTGTTTATCCATTATCTGAGAACGAAGTGGAAAAGAAAATGGTACGAAATACTGCATAGAATCAGGTATGCTACTATAAAGAAATGATGTGGAATTATATGGGAAGGTGAATCTTAATTTTACGTCGATTCCAAGCATAACTTGGAACGTATAATATACCTCAGAAAATCATTTTACATTTCTAAATAACAACCAAAGATTGCAATGAAATCGCAACCAAAGATTGGTTGGCTATGTTATGGACTCATTAAGTCTTTCCTAATGCTTGTTTACCAAAGAAATTCACCTAGAATATAATGTATCCCGGTAATCATTTACTGGTACATCATTTAAATTTACAATTTGATCTAGTCAGCCATATATAGTTGAAGCCCTTATAATTAGAATCCTGGATGATTCTATATTTTCTCAAATGGGCCGTATTTAAAAGGTAAATCTATGTTGTAAACGTAACCGGACTGGCTCCGCGATTATTCCTCAGAGTAATTATTAAGTGAACGAGAAAGACAAACAAATTTTATTGAAATTCTTTCGTTTCTTGCTACACGTATAATCTTACGTTTCCATTAGTAAGTTGTCAGTAGAAACAATCTTACCTCATGTGTCGTATGGATGGATGTATCAGAAATTCGCTAAGAACACAACAAACGTGTGATTAAAAATTTATTTACACTTTCATTTGTTAGACAGAGGTGATGAATCTATTGTTGCTTTATGATTTCTTGTAACGTGAATGTTTGTAATATGATATATACAGTTTAACCGTCGAGGAGTTCGGTTAATGTGACATGCTAAACTTTCAAGATTTGTAACAAAAATGAAGTGCTAAATCACAGACACTCAACGGTTGAATTGCTTTGTTACATATAATGTGTATCGTCGTATTCAGACATGGTTTACTAAGATGTTTGTTCCGTTGTAACGTGTACACGAGATTTAAGATCAAACAACGATAGATCTATATCGACAAATACGTAACTACAGGCGCTAATTGAATGTAACTTTTTGGCAAAACAACAGTTGTAGAGTGGTTAGCTTTTTTGTATAATTCACAGGTCAAATTCTAAAACCCTCCTTATTCTTCTTTGTGTCATTTTTAGAAGTACTTAATTGTTGCATCGCGACTTAGAAGTCTTATTAGGATATATGTCGCATAAACTACTCGCGTAGGTATACGTATGATTTTTATAAGTAATTTGCGCCAAAGGTCGATGTCTATACAATTTTATTTTGAAAACTTATATCTTTGTCAAGTGTTTACTATGGCTGGATAATTTAATCATTTTCCAGCAGAATATATTTATTCATTTTCTCTTAAGCTCGTGGGTCTCTACATATCTTCGTCCTTGACTCCTTCCCTTTTGAGTGATCCAATGAATAATATATTGAATAAATTACACAATAGTTTTCCGTTAAAAACAGAGTAATCGTTATATATTCAAGGAAACCGTAACTTAAATGGAACACAATACAATATTCGTCGTCGGCTGCGGCATACAACTTACGAATAAACATTATTTATTCGTTTTAATCCAATACTCAAATTTTACCGTTAATGTTTCGGTCTTGCGAACAAAAGGATTTAATCTTTTTGTAAGTGAATCTGGAGAATTTTTCGGCGTGGATAACTTACGTTACTTGATAAGTAACTTCATTATTTGATTTCGCAATTATGTAGTGTCGCGAATATTTAGCGTAATTATACGTGTTGAAGAAGTACGGGTCAGCATTGCCCCGTTCACAAATTGGATATCATATCCTTTCTATAAACTGAGTATTTGAATAGGCGGTTCTTGAAAGTATCGTTTTTTTACTTATTGGTACAGGTATGTATCTCTTTTCTCTCCTAGAAATATCTTGTACTTTCCGTCATGGATGTTCTATGAGGTCCGTTAATTGTCATTACAGTGGGCTTACAGACTTTGTACTATTACAACTTTAGTTTCATTATCAAGACTTCGGCACTAATCCTTCCGTAATCACCAAAATGTTGACTTCATTACTAGTACCATTAAGTCGTCCTCTGATCAGTAAGCTCGCTCCTTTTGAAATTTCCTTGTCAGCTTTTAGACTCAATCATTATAATCTAGAGTCGTCATCATACGTTGGTGGTTTGGCAGGTAATCTAGGTAATTCTAACGTCGGAAATCGTCCGTCATCGTACGTGAAGGTGGTGTTATCGTGTCCAGCATCTTCAACAGTTTTAGTTTCCTTCCCAGGACCTCCCATCAGTAGCATAGTAAACAAGAACATGAAGGAACCTGGTGAAATAATGACGTTTAAAAAATCTTAATAACGAACATACATACACGTGATAGATATTATTAAATAAAAGGTTGCCCAGTAATTATTGTCTGTGCCTTTAATTACTCACTGATACCGTAAAATCCGGCATAATAAATGTACAGAGATTCTCGGAATCCAATGACTTTCCTGGTAGGTTCCACTAAAATTGGTAGGTTTCCCCCAATGTTGTTCATTACGAACAGGAAAACTCCAACAGTCGTTGATCTCATACTCAAGGGGACGATTTCTACCAGAATAGCAAACACTATTCCAAACCACATCTCGGCTAAAAGGAAATCAAGATAATCAATCAGTTTTATTCCGTCGAGAATATGTTAATTATTTTGTCAATTAAATGTTATAACTTACCGAAAAAGTAAGAGATCCCAAGAGTAATCATGGCCCACAGCGGTCCAAAATATACGGAGCCAAAAGCGAAGGGGGTCGCAATCAGCTGGCTTACTACCAAGACAGCCACTCGTGATCTGATCCCCATTTTGGCTACAAACTTATCACTTATCACTCCTCCGACAACGACACCGATACTGCCGACAACGATCGTTACAGCGAACAACCACCATCCGAGATCGTAGTCTGGGAAATAGTCCCTGTAGTAGAGATCGCAGTTATAAGCGAAGCACATGCCTCCTAAAACGAAGAAAAATTTATCGAGGAACAGGGTAAAGTTATTAAGCTGACACCTCATAAGGTATTTCCATATTTACCGCAATGCCTTATGCTGGCTGCTAGACACAGAAGAATAATTCGAGGCTGAAGAATGACCTTCCACATTGGATCCTTTTTCCCGTCTTTACTGTTTTCCTCGCCGATTACTATTCTTTTCGGTTCACGTAACGTGAAGCCGGTAAGGATGGCAATGATAAGCCCCACGATACCAGCCCCGTAATAACATACTCTCCACCCCTATTAACACGTAATAGTATGTTTCATTAATAATATCCACTCTTATCGGTTTGACTTGATTTCAACAAAGCTTCGAATTCTATTTCAATAGGATACTTTATATGTGTATATTTTGTAATTACCAAGTCCCATGCGTTTATTTGCGGTACGTATCGCCCGATGGGGAAAGCAATGCCGTATCCTCCGTAAATTCCCCAATTGAAAATTGACATTACCAGGCCTCGTTGTTCTTCGGCGAACCAATCGGATAAGAGTCCGGTAGCCAAGGGATTACATCCCGCCTCCCTGTTCACGGACGGTTAATAAAAATTATAAAGCTTTAGGAAACGTAGCAGTAAATTACGGGAATAAACGTAATTTACTTATATCGGCGGTAAAATGCAACCAAGACCATACCCTGCTGCCAATACCATTCGAAGGAGAACGAGTTGCCAGTATTCCTTGACGGCACCCATTAAGATGATGGCTATGCTGAAGATAAGGGTGCACACTCCTAGCATCTTTACCCTGAAACGGTGTCACTTTAATTCTTTTCATTTCCCAGAAGAAATAAGATTGTTACATAATACCTTTCAGTCTCTAAGGTGTAGGAACCCCTAATTCCCCTCAATTAAGAGAGGGGTTTCTATATGGATATTTTTATTACGTAAATATTGTTAAGCCTATACTTTCGATTTCCTTCATGTATCTGTTTGTACTAAGTTTTAATGAACATGGAATTAAATGACTTACATATTTTTAATAGGTAAGACTGATTATAGAAACGTGAATTTAATTAGAGATCAATTTATACGATATAAGGAATATAAATAATTTCGCAGAAACACTTTGTTGCTGTGCAACCTATTTTCTTTAAATCAAGCACTTGTTATTCTGTTAGACTGTGAAGGGTGTCCTTGCTGATTAATTATGAGAGTGGTGGACATTGTTGATTACCTGTTGTATCTATCAGCAGCTACGCCCAAGATGACACCAACAACAGTGTACACTGCGATGAAGCTAGGACCTGCCAAAATCTGATAATCTATGCCAAGTCCATTATAATTCCACTCGCAGTAATTTGTTCCGTTTAATTCCAGAGATAGGCAACTGCAATAATATATTTTATTTAATGTTGCATGGGTAAGGGGACGCGATACCGTTGAAATTGAAAGAAAATTGTTTTTTAAATGTTTGCATATCCCAATAGCTACACGTTTTCGCGGATTTCAAGTTATGATTTATTTGAAAATTAGAAAGAAAAAAAGAATTAACGAAATAACAGGCCATCTTCTAGGTGCAATGCGGTCACGATCGAGCGCACTTGAGAAAAAGTCAATACCGAACAATACTCTCTTCAAAGGAAACTCGAAGAAAGGTTAAAAAACGAAATAAAACACTCATCTGTGGATGTCTATGTTCTTCAGGGAGATCAAAAGTGTTACGCGGATTATTTATTTATTTTTTTTAACGAATACTAGACGACAATGTGATCCCCTTAAGGCGTAACCCAAAGTATGTCCTTCGACATTCTGAATTCAGAATTGTTCTCTGTGTTGGAATAAATCAATGTACGGGCAAATAAAAGTACGGAGTATTATACAATATGACACGGTCGGGTAAACATTTTTTCTCCATTTTTCGAAGGAACTATTCCCTCCATTTCACGCGCTATTGGACACAGCGTAATCTATTTACGCCCGATCGTTGTTACATCTGCATTGCTGTTGGCAGTGTCATTACGTAGTTCAGATAAAACGAATCAAGCCGGACATGCTTAATCAATTCTTTCTATCACGCGTACACACGTTTACATTTATTCCGTATATAAGTTATGTGCATTTCAAGCATTACGTAAGTTACCAAATTGCTCAGGTGTCCCAATGTAACGACTAATCATGTAAAAGCTCACCACACCCTGTAAATGTTGACCCTTAAATATCCTCAAAATGTATGAAATGAATATTTAACGAATTTACATTCAAGCTTGATATTTCATTACGTGTTATCACGATTTTCCGCATAATGGTTTGCGATACGAACGTTTCCTTTTTCCTCAGTTTGAATTTGCAGTCTATGATCGTTGCATATGTTAATATACTCACTATTCTGAATTATTAGCACTTTCACATTGCACTGGTAAATCTATTAGAGCATATACAGTGGAATTCAGCTGGCAAGAAATATCCCCATAATGCAAGTCTATTGCTGTCGCCTTGCTCGTAACGCCTGGAAAGGATTTATAGGTATTACCTTTTAATTATCGCATTTATGAAATAGAAGATTACAAGATGACTACCAACCGATCATGTAATGCCCAAGTTCACCGAGGACATATCCGATGGACACCACGGCCAAGGCATAAGGTTTGTAAAGAAACCGTAGTTTGTTGATTACCGTGTTTAACATTTTGATCTGTAAAATCAATGTTAATATAAGAGACAATGATATAAATATATAATAAGAAATAACATAAATATTAACATCTATACGGCGCAGTTAAATTTCTTTCATTCATTCACAGTACTTAATCTGCTGACGTACACACAATGGTGATTATTTTGATAATTGACTCTATACTTTATATGTATATATATATATAAAGTATCAAAGTATATATATACACACACTGATCAGTAATGGTTCGACGCTGTTTTATTCAAGTTACCATTGCCACGGCCTGGGACACACCCCTGACCTTCTACTAGAATCATTTAACGATCTTTTCCATTTTTCCTTTTTTTATCTCTTGAGGTATGCAAATTAAACGACACGTATCTATCGAAGCTGGACCAGCAGACATTGATTAGATGTTTCATTTATACATCTTATATGCCAGGATCGCGTTTTTCTTTTTTCAATTAAGGTTAATGCGGGGTTTCTTTGACACCTGGTCCAGTAGTCAGCATCTATGCAAAAGGTTTGGAATTAGATGACGAAGACAAACTCGGTCGAGAATCTCTGTAATTATTTTCCGGATGTGATAAAAGGGGACTGCAATGAGAAGGCCGCCGTGTCGATGCAGTATTTCTTGAATATCTATTTCTCCCCATTTTTTTTTTTTTAATATGTGAGCAATCTTCCTAACAGGTGTCAACAGAACAATTAGACGTCGGTTAGTTGCAAATTTCCATTTTAACTGTATTATTCGCTGTCGGACATTCGCTCTTACGTCCAAGCTAAGGTGTGATCATTGCATTGCAAATCTTCTCATTTACGTCAGAGTTGCTTGTAATTATCAACATTTTTATGATAAAAGTACGAGTATTGTCACTAGAGGAATAACAATACGGAAGAGACCACCTTGAGGTAGATATGAATGTTTCATGCAAAATCGACACAAATAACCAATTATATGTACAGAGGTAATATCTTCCGTTTTACCTTTGAACAGTGTAATTTTTATAGTTATTCCCGGTCTGACTCATATCTGTATAAATTAAAATGAAACATAAATTTTACGTCTTACTCATGTTTTTCCAGTGATCGATATTTAATCGACCGACAGATATACAACTCGGTAAGTGTACTTACTTTAGTTATTATTAGGAGCTATGTATGAATAGATTTATAATTAGCATTAATGTAATTGCTTATGAACTGGAAATTACAAAATTACGACGGATTTTACAATCTTCACGTCCTGTCATTAATTACCCGAATACGAAGCGAAAATAAAATATTCATTCTCTTCGAAGGACGATACATAACAGACACGTCATAATGTGTAAACAAATTGTAAGGACTAAAGAAACTTGATGGAAAACCAGCTAGCTCTAATTGAAAAGATTTTACTTGCTCTAGGACCTGTACGCATAATTATATCGAATTAGAGAATACGGAATCCGAGAAGTGGGTTTTGAAAAAAAAATAAATATTGTGGGCGTGAGCACCGTGCGCAGATACGATTGGTAGATTACAAAAAAGTGCGAGCGAGGTACATGCAACCAACGCGATCGATATATCATTTTACTTGCATTTAAATGCATCTAATTGCGAAATGCAAAACGGTGAAAATGGAAGGTTGCATTAGACTGGACGCAACGAACCTTACAAGCTATTCGAAAAATGTTTCCTGTAGTGCACTTAAAATATTTCCGCACAAAATATCAAGGTTATCGCGATATTTTTATAAGAAACAGTGTTACTATTACATTGCGCAATGCTACATTCACCAATATATAACGCGAATCATAGGAACATTTTTGCTCCTTCACTTCTGGTGTAACGAAGCTTCGTGAAGGGAATAAAACAATCTGTTTAGGACTACTTATACACTTTACTTGAATAGGCCACTAATTACAATATATAATATTTAAAAAAAAGTGTAGGATACAAGATTAAATAACATTTATTAATGGTGTAAAAAAAATGGTCACTTAAGGGTGAAACCTTTTCGTGTTAGACATATTTATGATGAATTAGTATTTATGAAACACGCCCTTACTTTTGTAATGAATACCGAAAATAAAGGTGCGTAATTCTTAAATTATGAAGCACGTACAGTTGTTCAGTTCTAATGTTTGAAAATTATGTTAATATAATATATTTGCAATTTTTTTGCGGGCGAGGTTGGTATTTTCGGAATTATTGAAAGTAATAAATCTGCGAATAAAAGGATGGATGTATGGAGACCCATTTTTTACTCGGAGGCAATTTTCATTTTCAACAAAGCGTACGAGTTTTTCAGCGAAAGCGCGTCGGAGATGTTCGAGAAGAAAAAACACGGTTGTAAAATCGCGTCCCTCATCTGAATATTCATCGAAAGTTCAGTTTCCATTAAACTGGCAGCTCCTTTCCAATCATCGGCGATCGATCGATCGTTCAAGGTTTCCGTGATTTGCACATAATGAAAATGAGCCAATTTAAATAACGGTCTATACATAGACAATCGGCAGACAGCGGAAAAACGAAGTCGAGGTGCTTCATTGTTATCTTTGCGTTACAATGGTATATATCTCGACTCGCTTTTAACAAATTCAAAATGTACACGATTACGCAAACGGAGTGATGGAGATCATTTTAAGTATACTCAGACGTACTGTTACGTGATGGTATAAGGAACTTGGGTTATAATTGTCGTAATTAACCTTTATGAACAGAGACTCTCGCGTTCCTAATCCCGTTATTTAACGATGTCATGCATTCGATTCGCACACGCAATTCTGTTTCGTTCTAGATGCTATATTTGCCTGATTATTTGAGTACTCTTGATGTAATTGTAGTCTTCCAGAATCATGAAAACATTTCATTTCTTGCAGGACTTTAAAAGACCCAAAGTTGAGGTATATTGGTAGATGGACATTTAAGATTGACACACACTTGTCTACAAACAATCGATCAGCTGATGTGCAATACTTTGAGTAAAACTGAATTCCGAGAAGGAGAAACTTTTTTATTTCCAGTTATAGCGTAGACATCGAAATGAAAATTAGTGGTCTGAATCCGATGATAAGTCTGTCGATACTTTATGTAGGGAATGAACGCAAAATGGAAAACAAATAGTGAAAAGAAGTCTTCAAAATGAGCCCACGGAATAAATATTTGACACGGGGGAAGGATTCTTAACGGTGATGCACTTAATTTAACATATGAAAAGGTATTCATTGAGCTGATCGAGTTTTAATAATCTAATTTGAATTCAAGTAATAAATAATGCAAGTGACAAATCATTTAATCTAAAACGACGACGAACACTGAACTGCCCTTAAAATCGATATGTTCCGAAGTGCGGATGATTTTGACAAAATTTCCAGAAAGAGATTTATACGTGTTCAATTCGGTCAGGAACAAATGTTGACCGATGAATAATCTATTTATAAAGGCTATCGTTTCTGATTATCACCAGACGTGTAATTTCATTTAAAATGGCGCGTTTCATTCCTTAGCATTTTTCCAGGCCGATCTGGGTAGAATAAGTGCACTTCAATCTTAAGAGCGCTTTAACCTTAAGTATACTTCAACTTTCATAGTCAACGTGACTGTTCACCTATACGCTATCCCTGGTTCAATCCCCGCAAGCTGCGAATAGTTTATTTTATTTTTTTCAGGTTCACATGACAGCTGTTAAAAATATCTGTTGAAAGGTATTGAAAGAGACCGTCTTTGAAATTGGTGGAAGCTAAAGAAATCTGAAGTCCAAAATTCCTCTTTTACTTTTCCCTTAGCCCATTCGCTGCCAACTACGAGATACCTCGTAGTAAGCGTATGTATATGTATTAGACTGTCATTATATTTTCCTGGCAGACAAAGGGTTAAATGATTATTTACCGAGTCCTGGGATATGCCGTATATATACGTGCGTGATTTTGGTGTACAGTTCTCTTGCATCCGAAATGCGTGCGTTCATTGCACTCGATACGAGATCAAAGTCGAGAGACAAGGTATACCGCAATGACGGTGAAAAAGAAAAAGCGCTGCCTCACTATCGTTTCGCATAATCAGATACACTCTGCGGGCTCCCGTCGTAATCAGCGAGTACAAGAACTGTCCAGATGCTACGTATAATGTCGCCAGTTACCTAACTGTATATTCAAAAAATGCGTCACGTTAACCTTGCTGAATCGACATGCGATATGACCACACGTAATCCAACTATGGATACCAACTATGGTAACGGTTTCCTTTGATTAGAACGTATTTCTCGGCACAAACGCGTAGCGCAACACACAGATAACTAACAAAGGGATAATTAACGTTAAGAGGGTAAAATAATTGAATGGTACTCTCTTTAGAAATTAAGTGGAACGTTTTAAGTGGCACGAAGCACTTTGAGAGTGGTGCAAGGATGCCGTCCGTCCCCATTGGTGGTCAATGTTGCTCCAATTATTTGGTTCCGCGTTATTGTGGCGGCAAATGCGTCAGTGCACGTTAGTGTATCCTTCCTCGGAAAAGAAACGCCTATCAGGAAATATCCTCCGGCGGTGGATGCAATCCTTTGGGTAATTCGCTCCGAAGGAACATACGCGGTTTTACGTGAGGGGACTTAACAACTTGTACGAAGCTCGGCTACCTTGAGCTAGAATCGGTCGGCCGGAAAGGAATTATTATAATAACATTAACCATATGGCCCGTCACATAGTAGCAAGGCAAATGCCTCGTAGAACGACATTCTTCTTTTAACAATCTTAAGTCAAAAGAAATGATAACGCCGGGAATTAAATGAAAGACTTGGCGCAAATTTTACGTTGCTTTGGCTTAACTTGACTTTTTGAAAAAAATGTAGAAAAGAAATTATTATCGAGCCATGACATAGCAGCATGGCCCGTCAAAAAATAACGAGTTAATGCGTGCTCGTATGTGTTTTCAACAGCCGAAAATTAACGACAATGCTAAAAAGGAAAGAAAAAAGAATAATAATTCGAATGTAAACTTTATGCTGTCTTAGCATAACTCTTTATCGTGCGAAATATTAC